GATGTGGCGAGGATGTTCTTTTAAACCCTTTTATGTATACCCGAAAACGTCGTGAACATTTTTAAAAATCTAAAACCTATTCTTGAGATCAATGGAAAACCAACAAAAAGTTTCCATTGTAGTGTTTTCCAGAATCTAAAATTGTGGGCAATCAAAGCTTTATCTTTTGAAAAGACATTTGTTTTATTTGATAGCTTTTAAGATATGGACATTTCGTCCATTAACAATCAATTAAAAAATAAAATTAATAATACCTGCAGTAAAAAAGTTAAAAAGTGCAAAAGTTGCGAACATGCTACGAGGAAAACGGTATAATTTTCTAACTTTTTGTTTATAAAATTGAAGATTGAAGACAACTACTGACTTAACTTTCATAAAATGTGAAACTTTTTACAAGTCATGTCAAAAACAAGCATAACTTTTTCACAATTATAGCTAATATGCATGGAAGACAATTTTTAACATGATTAGAGACAACATACATGTGTGGTGGAATTAAGTTAGAAGCAAAAACAATCGATATAGAAATTGAAGAAATCCACGGACGTGTGGCATTTGTTTGCTTTTTAAATTAAACGCGTCCATTCGTATAATTCGATCGGTAGACACAAGAGAGAGCAAAATGTTATCGAAAGAGCGCTTCAATGCATTTAAATAACCTTCATTTTTTAAACATTTAATTTTGCTAAGTGGATTTCTAGTACTTTCAGTTGTGTAGTCCAGAGGATTATGGCAATGAGCAGGGTTGGCTTAAAATAAAATTTTACGTTTCCATTGCATTATTTCAAATCTTTTTAAACTTAATTAGAAACCTTTGAAGACAAAATAATGTTTGTTTTTTAATTATCTAATAGACGGTTAATGAATAAAAAAAGAACTATAAGTGTACATCAAATTGTCTAAAACTTCACATTTCAGGATCACAAAATAGTCATCTTGATGAAGTATAAAACGTATTAAAATCTACAGAATTAAGTCGTTTCGAAGATATTTTATCTTATTTTTTTCTAAAAATTATTTTACTTACTTTACTTTCCAGTACTTTTCTTATGGTATATAATAGGTGTCAATCAGCTACATGACTAATTCATCAAACATAAAAATTTAATGACCGTTAATTTTATAAAATATCAATAACGAAGAATTATATGATATTAGTACTGAAATTAGATAGATAGATGGATTGAATGAGGTGGCATTTGACCTATTCCAGTGCGATCTTTTCAGATCTATTGTGGTCCTCTAATCCTATATTCCATTCTCTTACTTGAATCTTTTTGAAAGGTTTTAATAGCTTCGAGACTGAAACTTCCATGTAGCTCTTTGTCGGTGGCTTTTCTTTGATTAATGTAAAGAACCGCACAGGCTATTGCATTGAAACAAAATGTGTTTTGCTGTTTCTTCCTCTAGGTGACAAAATCTGCATATATTATCCATCTGTCAATCCCATGAGCTTCAACTGACTATTCAGCTCACAGTGTCCTGCTATGGCTTTGACTGTTTTCCTGTTTTTGCTTATTAGGTCTGTTGTAAATTTTGGGTAATGTTCTATAATGAACTGTTTCGCCTGTCTTTATCTTGGCGAATTCTACCACCATTCCAGAGATTTGTGTGCTACCCACTTTCTAGTAGCTGTTCTTTTTACTACCTTTGCAACGGCCCAGGAGGATTCCGGTCCAATGAATGGCATTAATGAGTCTTGTTTGGCCATTCATTTCATCTGCTTTTTCATTGGCCTTATGACCCTCGTGACCTGATACCTAGGCTTCCGTAACATTGCTACGGTCTCCGGCATAGAATTGACCTCTACATAATTGAGTGCTGGTGGAGAACATCCAGGACTGGGTAAGAAACAGAAGAGTAAAATGGAACGATGGTATAAGCCGAATGACGCCAAATAAATTAATAAAGACGGCAAGAGATAGTTCCCCAATAGGAAGATGATTAGTAGGAAGACCACGTAAACGATGGAACGACAACTTACTGGGGCACAATGAAAAACAGACACAGTCAAGTCTACATAAAAAGAAGAAGAAGAAGAAGAGCATACATGGAATAATCACATAGTGAAAACTACACAGAAAGCTACTATGTCCTTGGGCAGATGTAGGAGGATGTTTGATGAACAGTGGGAGCTCAACCCCAAAATCACACTTTGGTTATACATATTATTATTATTAGACCAATGATAACCTAGGGATCTGTGACGTGGTGGACAAAGATGCAGCAAATGGGAGGAATAAGGCAGTTAAGTAATACACAAAAGCTAGCATATCTGTGTATTACGAGGGCCATAAAAACAACTCCTACATCGGCGTTGGAAGTCCTGCTGAATCTTCCACCACTTCCACCACAACAAAATGAATACAGCATGCAAGGAAGACTGGAACGAAGGTGTACCCATACAAGCAGATGCTACCTGGTACACTGATGGCTCAAAGACATTTGAGGGTGTAGGAGCCAGTATAGTAGGGACAAAGCAAGGGATATATTTTTAAATAAGTCTATCTAAGAATGTCAGAATTTTCTAAGAGGAGATAACGGCGATTTATCACTGCGTGGAAAAAATAGAAAGGCAGAAAAGAACGCACCGTTGAATTGCCATCTTCACAGATAACCAGGCAGCGCTTAAAGCACTCAATTATGTAGAGGTGAATTATATGCCGGAGACCGTAGCAATGTTACGGAAGCCTAGGTATCAGGTCACGAGGGTCATAAGGCCAATGAAAAAGCAGATGAAGTGAATGGCCAAACAAGACTCATTAATGCCATTCATTGGACCGGAATCCTCCTGGGCCGTTGCAAAGGTAGTAAAAAGAACAGCTATTTGCTCTATTCACTTGATCTTCCATTTCTTATTTGAGGAAATGGACACATTAAATTTTGTGGCGTTTATATTAAATTGGAGTAGCATACATTGTAAATCATCTTCACGTAGTGAAGAGAGAGTAGTATTGCGTCGTCTGCATAGCAGATTATTTTAAGATGTTTTTCTCCCATTTGGTACTCTTTTTTTTAATATTAATCAGGTGGAAAAATAGAGGACTCAGGGAATCTCCCTGTCTTATCTCATTGCAAGCTTCAATAGGGCCAGTTAGTTCTTCGTCTACTTTTACTGTTATTGTGTTATTTTGGTAGATATTTTCGATCGTTTTCATTATTCCTGGAGGTATTTCTCTGGCGTGCGATAAGTGGATAACGTCCTTTCATTTGACCTGATCAAATGCCCTCTTAAGGCACAAAACATAGATATGCCGGTTTATTAAATTCTAATAATTCCATCTTTATGCAATCATTAGTCTTTTTATGCACACCGGTATATATATATATATATATATATATATATATATATATATATATATATCAAACACAGAGGTACGGGTATCATCTAGAAGTAGAAGTGAGTTCTTGTTTGCTTTTTCCGTGATAAATTTTTGACCATTTAAATACCAAGTCTTTACTGTTAATGTCCATCCAAAAAAATATTCGGAGCTTCTGGTCTATGAGGTTAAATGAAGAATACATCATCTACATATCCCCACTATACTGCGGGTTTTTTGGTCATGTTTGTATACAATGTTTTGCTCAAATTCTTCCATAAATATATCTACTAATAACGAAGATAAGAGAAACCCATAGCTACTCCAAAATTTTATACGCCCAAATAAAAACCTGGCGCCAGTAGTTGTTGAAGCACAAGTAAAATAAAATGGCATTTTAAACAGTTACAGGCGAACAAGTCAGAAAAGTGCATGCATTGTGCCAGTAAAATTAGAATCTTACAACTTTTCATTCGACAGTAACCACTATATCGGCGTTTTAAATTGAATTTCCACGTGTAAACGGTTGTGTTTTGTGGTTATTTTAAATTATAATAATTTTACTGTCTGCAGCAGTTCTGAAGAGTTCTATTGTTGTTTTTACACTTCACTGCTTTAAATTGTTCAACCGGGACGTGCGTCGTCTTCCCGGTCCTCTTTTTCCTTCCACCTTTCCTTGTATAACCAATCGCATTAACTCATATAGTAGGTGACCAAAGTAGCTCAGTTTTCTCTCTCTTATAGTGTGGAGTATTTCTTTTTCTTTTTCTATCTTTCATAATGCTTCCGTGTTTGTTACGTGTTTTGTGCATGATGTTTTCCACATTCTGCGATGTCACCACATTTCAAAGCTGCCAAGTCTTCTTTCAGTTGCATCCATAATTTTACAGGTTTTAACTCCATAGAAAAGAGTAGAGAATACGTAGCATCTCAAAACTCTAGTTCTAATTTCTATTCCCAGTTTTTCATTGCATAATACTGCTTTCATTTTATTGAAAGCGCTTCTGGCTATCTCAGTGAGTCGTTTTATTTCAAGGCTGCGGCCTTTCCACTGATAATTTCTTCTCTTTTCCACATAACTAATCATCTCTTCAGCAATACTTTTTAGAATTAAACGACACCCTACACATACTCCCAATTTTATTTTCTCGATTGGCATATTACTATTGTGTAAACGACCACAAGTCGGAATTGAAAAGAATATTCCACTGTGCAAACTTAAAAATGAAACAGGGGTGCCAAAATTTATTTTATTCTGTGTAGTATAAACCTTCACTGGCGTGCAAACAGTACTGGCATACCTACTGGCGCCAGCAAATTAATAAGTATATAAACTCGCCGTAATTGAAAATAACTGTTGTCAGTGCATACTCTTAATACCTCTTAATAGCTCATTGTTTATATCTGATACATTCAGTTTTGTTTTTTTTTTTTATCAAATCAAAAATTTATAAATTTTGTTGAAAACTACTTTCATTTAAGACCGAAAATCTGATTAAAATGGTTATTTTTAGATTTTAGAAATATAAGTATTTCAATAATATGTAATTGTGTACATTTATCTAAAAAATGGACCAAGTTTCGAAGTTATTCTTTCGACGGTTAACAATATTGTAATATCGATTGTAATATATTTTTGAAGTAAGTTTGATTTGCCTTAATAGTTAATTTTTGTTACAGGTTAGAGCAACGGGCAAGATGTATGCTTGCAAAAAATTGGAAAAGAAGCGAATAAAGAAGCGGAAAGGGGAAGCTATGGTACTCATAGAAAAACAGATTTTACAAAAGATTAATTCCCGGTTTGTTGTCAGTTTGGCTTACGCCTACGAAACTAAAGACGCTTTATGCCTTGTATTAACTATAATGAATGGTGGAGACTTGAAATTTCATATTTACAACATGGGTGGCGACCCAGGATTAGATATAACGAGGGCGAGGTTTTATGCCGCAGAAGTTGTGTGCGGCTTAGACCATCTTCATCAACAGGTAAGTCTATACTATACTTAAATACTTTTTAGTACTTTTTTCACTTCATAGATTATTCGTTTTGTCGTGTTTTTGGTAACTGTGAATCAAAATAGGATTTTTACAACCACCTTTTGGTATCTAAATAGGATCAACCAGATGTAGCGGTGTTATTTAAATACCGTCACTGATAGGATGTATATTTACTAAATATATTTTCTGGTTTCTGTTCAACACATATGTAGATACAAATATTATATTTATATGGGATTAAGCCACAATTATTATTGATTTTATTGAAAATTGCATTTTTAACTAATATTCGTTTTCAATATTGTATATAGCAGACCTGCTACATTCTGCAGATGGTTTTGCTACACATCTTGGATGTGCTTGGGCTCGCTTCTGATTAGATGGTCCCTATCCTTCTGGGGTAATTCGTACTATGTCCCAATTAACTCCTCCCAAACTGCTCCCAAAGTTTGGTGAAGATGCTCTTGAGCATTGAGCAGTCTCCGACCCATCATGTCCCAAACTTGATCAACTGAGGATAAATCTTGAGATCTTGGGGCCGGGGCAAAATATTGACTCCAGCCTGTTTAAAGAAGTCCATGGTGACTCTTTAAATGTAGGGCCTGCCGTTAACCTGCTGTAAAATTGCATATTGGTGTGTCTAAAGGTAGATTCGAGGTGACCTTGAACCACAAGCGATAGTAACACCACAACTTCAACTGTGCGGTTCATATGCTGTTCGACAAAAAACTGTGAATTTCTTCTCTCACCACGTCGACTTCTACCCTTGGCTCGGTCATCATGCATCCCTTTTAAGTTAATATGTTTAGAGGTTAACAAATTAAGAAGTTTCATGCTCGTTTTTCCTGACACGTGGTAGTCTTTCTGTGTCTCCTACGGAGAAATTGTTGCATGCATAGTATATTTTTTGCAATGTTTTGATCATTCTTGTGTGTTGCTGGGTTTGGTTTTAGACAAGATAGATCTGTCTAATCTTAGATGTACTTGGGCTCGCTTCTGATTAGATGGTTCCTATCCTTCTGGGGTAATTCGTACTATGTCCCAATTAACTCCTCCCGAACTGCTCCCAAAGTTTGGTGAAGATGCTCTTGAGCATTGAGCACTCTTCAACCCATCATGTCCCAAACTTGATCAAATGAGGATAAATCTTGAGATCTTGGGGTCGGGGCAAAATATTGACTCCAGCCTGTTTAAAGAAGTCCATGGTGACTCTAGCAATGTAGGGCCTGCCGTTAACCTGCTGTAAAATTACATATTGGTGCGTCTAAAGGTAGATTCGAGGTGACCTTGAACCACAAGCGATAGTTACTAACACCATAATTTCAACAATGCGGTTTATATGCTGTTCGACAAAAAACTGTGTATTAGTTCTCTCACCACGTCGTCTTCTACCCTTGGCTCGGTCATCATGCATCCCTTTTAAGTTTAGAGGTTAACAAATTAAGAAAAAAAATAATTAAAAACAGTTATGATATGACTGAATTTCTAGTCATTTATGGTTTTTGTTAAGCATGTATACCAATTATAATAAAATACTTTATAATGGCTTTTTGGATTCTTATGTCGTCACTTGGTATATGTAGCAGTATAATATATGGGATATTTATGGTTTTTGTAAATTATTACAACGGCTAAATTTTATTACATTGATTTTTATGTATTGCAGGGCATTGTATATAGAGACTGTAAACCAGAGAATATACTTCTAGATGACGCAGGTCACGTGAGGATCTCAGATTTAGGCTTAGCTGTAGATATTCCCGAAGGAGAATCTGTTAGGGGTAGAGTTGGAACCGTAGGCTATATGGGTAAGTAATATAATATATGTTAATTATAAACGTATGCAGTAAAACATCTCTAAAATATTCAAAACTAAATATGTTTGACGAAATAGATCAAATTATGTTTTATAACTTACTTCTTTTAACAAACTGTGTTTATTTTTCTTTTACTTAGATCTAAGAAAAACATTTTTAGTCCCAATCTCAGATATTTAAAACTCACATTTTACAATCAGTTCACTATCGACGCTTATCATGTAATTTGAAATAGTACTTGAATTTTTAATTGAATAATCTACATACGTACTGTGTCACTATGTACACTTAGTCCAGTGACTTTAAAATTGTTTCTTCGAACATTTCCTATTATCCGATCCAACAATAATAAGAATAAAAGGAATACTAACTAAGCCTTATTGCAATTTTATATGAAATTTATCAGGGTTTTCCCCGTATACCATAACACGAGTTGTTACCCCATTATACATATCTTCTATATTTTTCATAACTTGCCGAAAACTCTTTTCTATTGATTGCCCACCAGAAATTCTCAAGGTACTCTATCACACGTTTTCTTAAGTTGAACGAGTACCAGATGAGCCAGTATTTCTTTATTCTTACATGTTTCGATCAGCTTCCTTATAATGAACATGCAGTATCTCATCTACTTTGTGTAAATGTAAATACATTGTGTATTATCATAATAAGTGGCTCGACAATCCGTTGTGAATCTTGGCCTGCTCACAAAAAAGTCGCCATTCCTATCGATTCTTGACAACTTCCCTCCATCTTTTAACCCTTTGAATCTGTAGTTCTTCTTCATCATCATTAATCCATCTCATTCGTGTTCGTCCTTTACTTCTTGTCCCCTCTGGTTTTGAAAATGTTAATCTCTTCGTGTATTCGTAATCTGACATCCTAGCAATGTTTCTAGCCCATCTAAGTTTCTGCACTTTAACGAATTTCACAATATCAGGGTCGGTGTATAACAGATAAGAATTTTTCTCTCAAAAATACCAAGAACTAATTTATCATTTTGAGATAAGGTCCACGTTTTAGTCCCATATATCAAAACCGGTGTTATTAAGGGCTTGTATATATTAAGCTTTACTGCACGTTTTATATTTTTATTTTTTAAATGTTTCTAGAGACCGTGAACTGTTCTGTTTGCTATTGCTATGCGTCTTTTATTTCGTCGCTTGTCGTGTTTGTTGCGTTTACTAGCGATCCAAGATATGTAAATTCTTCGACTTGCTCAAAAGTATGGTTGTTAATTTAAATTCTCTGTTGGATATTTCGAGGGTTTTTAGAAACCAACATATATTTGGTTTTTTCCTCGTTTACCACAAGTCCTAATTCACTTGGTGCGTCTGCAAGCTTTGTAGAACACTGGGCCATGCCATGCCATGTGCCAGTAAATCCGCATTGATATTGACCAACAATATCCTTTGTAAAATGTTTAAGTCTTTCAATAATACATTGCCGAAGATTTTATACGCAGATGCTAACAGAGTAATGCCTCTATAGTTATTACACTCCAGTTGATCACCCTTTTTATGCAACGTATTATTCCCTTCATCCACTCTTCTGGTACCCATTTATTCTGCCATATAAGTACTATTAGTTTATGGATTCCTGCAAAAAGTTGATCACCACCTTTTTTATACATTTCCGACCAGATTTTATCAATTCCTGGGGCTTTATTGTCTTTGAGTTTTAAGATCGGATTTTGCACTTCTTCTCTTGTTGGGTCTTCACTGTGTAGTAGACGTTGTAGATTTTGTTGATTTTCAATGTTGTAACCTCCCTGAATATCGTTTCTATTTAGATGCTCGCTGAAATGTCGTGCCATCTGTTAAGAACTGAGTTTTTATCATGTAGAATTTCACCGTTAGTGTCTTTACAAATTTTTAATCGTGGTTTAATTTCTCGACAGCTAGTATTTAAGTATTTGTAGTATTTCCTCGTTTCATTTTTATCGAATAAACTTTGTATCTCACTGAGAGTGTTCTGTTCATATTCCCTCTTCTTACGTCGATGGATACGTTTTCCCTCTCTTCGGAGACGTCTATACTCGTCTCTTTTTCTCCGTGTACAATCTATATTAATGGTTTTTTGATATGCTGCGTTCTTTCTATTTGTGGCCATTTCGCACTCACAATCAAACCAATGATTTCTTTTTTCTGACTTGGTTTTGCACAATATTTCAACGGGTTTCTGTAACACAATATCTCGTATATTGGCCCATAGTTGGTTAATATCTTCTTCTTCTTCTAAGTTTTTTGTCCTTATTTGGTCTTCTATTTGCTGTCTGTATACATTTACAATGTCGGGATCTTTTAGTTTATTAATGTCGATTTTTTCTTTCCTTCTCCCGTTCTCTTTTTTTAAATTGGATATTCTTTCTTTAAATCGTGCTTTAACTAGATAATGATCACTATCTATGTTTGCTCCTCTAACAGACCTAACATATAATAAGTTATAGCAGTCTCTTGCATCGATGATTATATGATCTATTTGGTTAATTGTTTCATTATCAGGAGATTTCCAATTTCCCTTATCTTTATGGGGAAATCGTGTCCCAGCTATTACCCTGTTCTTAGACATCGCAGAGTTTACGATTCTGAGACCGTTATCGTTAGAGTCTATGTGTAGACTGTGTTTTCCGATGGTGGGCGAAAATATATTCTTTTTTCCGAATTTGGCATTAAAGTCTCCTGCTATTATTTTGATGTCATTTTTAGGGCACTTATCGTACTCTCGGTCTAATGCCTCATAGAACATGTCTTTTTCATTATACAATATATATTGTGTATTATTGAATATATTTGTTTGTGCACGCAGGTTTATTTCTATTCTATTGAACCAACCTAATCCAACTTATTTCTGTCTCTTCTAACGCTGTGGGCATTTCTACATTAATATTCTTTCTGAAATCCGCTTTTTGACATCCTTTTGGTGCACTAATAATTTTTTATTTATAAGGAAGTCTGTTAGGTTTCTAAGCTGATTTCTGTTTGTTGTCCGCAGTACTTCAAAGCGTGTCCACCCAATACATATTTTACCATGCCATTGACCATATGCTTTTCCAGTATAGGTTACGTTATTTCCTGTCGCGCAGAGTGCTTTTTGGCATTATTAATGTCAGCTCGGTACCGAAATATTTTGATGATCCGGTTCTGACAAGATCATCAGCTCTCTAATTGACGTGTTGACCTGCACTCATTCCAGTATCACACTAGTATGTTACCTTAGCCTATCCAGTTATTCTTGGCATTTCCGTACTAGCCTAGGGCCTAGCTTAGGTCTCCAAAGAACCCACACCCGCATTACTATATGTGCGTATATTGATCTACTAGGTTCAAAATTTCAAAAGTTAATTTCTCTTGCACACTACAAGATAAGTAATCTGCATAAATAATAAACAATAGATGTGGTTTCAGTTAAATTGGCTAAAACTTTGGTCTAGCTTTGGTCTGACTATTAGCTAATAGTCAACAAACAGCTCTCCAGTAATGACTATCTCCAACAATTAAAATGCTTTGGACATGTTATGAGAGCAGACACAGAAAACATTAGAAATACTTATTTTTCAAGGAAAATTCCAAATTACAGGAATATACAAGAGACCTATGCATGAGTTAAAAGAAATGCCCAGAGACAGGTATCTTTCAAAACAGACAATATACGACATCGCGATGACCACTACACTGTCTCCGAGAGATCAGGACTGAAGAGAGAAACGGGTAATAATTTCAATTTTTTTAAAGAAAAAATTAGTACGCCATTGAGATATTTCAAATTATAAATAAATTAAGTAATAGATTCGACTGTTACTTGATGGAAATTTATTTTATCTAACAATAAAACACAGAAAACTTTTGTTTTGAACACTTAACACAACAATTTTGTGGAAGTTTCAGGAAATAATTGTTTTTGAGTTACAGAGCTTCAAAAACAATTTTTAATTTGAAATATCTCAGTGAAAAAATATTGTTTCTTTAAAAAAATTGAGATCATTACCCATATGCGCGCCAATGATGAATATAAAAAATTCTTCGTTGTATGAAAAAAGTCTGCAATAACTACCTCTTAAAGCTCAGCAAATTTCATTTGCTTATCTGAACCAGTTTCAGAGCAATAAATAAATCGTCAGTTTGTAAGACAAAATTCAACACCCTGTGTCTCGAAAAACGAAGCATTTGCGGACATGCGTTTCAAACTATAATTATTTTGGTCATGCACAATCACTCTTTCAAGTGCGTTGTAATTATTTAGTAACACCCTGTATATTAAACAGTATATTATGTATTATTTAAATGGACTAAAATCCAACATTTTGAACCTCTCTAACTCAGAGACAATTGATTTCTGAGTCTTAGTGCAATGAGAAGTTTTGATCACCATGAACAAGCATTCTTCTTTGCAAAGTTTCAGTCAATTTAACTGAAACCACTTTTACAGAAGCAAAGTGCCGGGGTCCTTTGAAGATTTGTGTCAGCCCTATTTTCTTGTCAGTCTTTATACAGTTCTCCCTTCGCTTTTATTTTTTTTTTGGACTTTGTTCGACTACCAGCAGGTCTCCATTTTCTTAAATTTTGTTTTCGTGGTTTTTAATAATTAATAAATTGCAGTATTTCTAATAATCTTAGCTATGAGTTGTAGCACTTCTTTGTTACTAAATAAAGGTGCTTTTATTGAAGTTATACTTCTATACGCGCATTCTACGTTTCAAATTTGTACGGGAGTGAATCGGCAAAATCATTACATATGTAATATATAGGTAAAAGAGAGACAGAAGATATATTTTCTCTCTTTCTCTCTGGAGAATAAAAATGTTCACTTTGTAAATATATTTAATATTTATTACTATTACTATTATTTTTCCATTGTGTTCAGATTTGTCTCGAGCCTCGTTAGGCATGTTAAATTATAAATTAAAACTTGTAACTATCTCGAGAAAGTTCAAATGTATACTTATATACACAAAAAACAACAATTAAATTTTGTATTTGTCAATGTCAGAC